TAAAAAAAACAGCTGCAAAAATCTTTCAAAATGGATTTTATTGGCCCACCATGTTCAAGGACACGCATGCATTCTGCAAAACTTGTGAAAATTGTCAAAAAATTGATATTGGTCAAAAAGTTTTGTTTTATAATTCTCAACTCTATGCATTCCCTAGAGAGCTAAGATCAAGATGGAGCAATCCTTATGGGGCCTATGATATTGAGAATTCAATGAATAACAATGTTTTTAAGAAAAATAGACATCGTTTGAAAGCTTACTTTGATAATTTTCCTAGTGAAAATGAATCAACTGGTGTGAATGATCTTGTAGATAAAGGTTGATTATTTTGTTTTTCTTATATTGTTTTTGTGTTTCTTTTTGAGTGATTTTTGCCAGTTTCTCTCATCCCGGTCAAATGGCGGACAACGGTACTCCGTGACTTAAGTCGCTTCTTTCAGTTTCCTATAATAACTGATATTTGTGTATATCTTTGTGCAAGTATTTGAATCTCTCTTCTAATTCTCATTTGATAATGGACACTAATCTTGAAAAATTTAAAAAGTATTTTCCCGCTCTGCCTCAAAATGCAATTACAAAAATTTACTGTGCTAGATGTGCAAGATTGAGGTTGTTAATGAATCATGGAATTCCTGAAGATATTCGTTGGTTGATTGAAGCAAAGGTCTAATTATCAGGTGAGTCCTCTAATTCCTTTATTTCACACATGCCTGGAATAGGTAAAAGTACTTTTGCAAAGAAACGTCATGCAAAACGATTGAAAGTCTGTCATCGATGTGCCAGATGGACTTGTAATGCACAATGTCGTTCTTTAGGAATGGTATCTATAAACCGTGAAGATAAAATACAATTCATTAAGGATGGCCTGAGTAAGGAGTCTTTAGATAATCTTTTATTAACTCTTGAGACGCATCTTAATGGAGATGTGCATCATGCAATTCATGATTTATGGCCCCATTTTCATAAAGAATATGATCGACTTAGTCTTGGGAATCTGACTAAAAAAGACCCTGTTTGCCAATTCTTAAGAAAACTGGATGGGAAGCCTATTCTCGACCCACAGAGGGCGTTTAAACCATTCTTGGATGTAAAACCAAGGGAAAATGTGAGCCACAATCACAACTACCTATACATACACATGCTTTTTTAAATAAATAAATAAATAAATAAATAGAGAGAGAGAGAGAGTGTGTGAGACTCTAGCTGGCCTACACATAGGTGATATGATTGCCCTTTTAATTTCTCATCTATAAAAACCTCTCTTCCTTCCCTTCATTTCCACTCAACCCATACATTCATCAACTATAGAAGTGTGTAGAAATGACAAGTTTCTCAAGTCATTAAATAAAAAGTATTTGTGTTTTTGGTGGATCTAATCCTGGGAAAGAAAAGAAGTTTTTAGAATTAGCAAATCATCTTGGTCAGGTGGTAGTTGAGAGAAAGATTCATTTAGTGTATAGGGGAGGCAGTTTGGGGTCAAGGAGAGGTATGTCAATAGTTGCATTTTTAGGAGGTAGTCAAGTTTTGGGAGTCGTCCCCAAAGCTTTAGCGCAATGGGACATCATTGGAAAAACAATTGGAGAGGAACTTCAGGTCTCCACAATGTCGGCTCGAATGAATGCAATGTTTGACTATGCTGATGCCTTCATTGCTTTACCAGGTGGTCTAGGCACATTGGATGAGATCTTTCATATTTTCTTTTGGGCCCAACTGCACATTCACCATAAACTCATAGGTTTGTTAAATGTTAATGGTTATTATGATAAGTTGTCTTTTCTTGATCATGCTGTGGAACAGGAATTTCTAACATCTTCTGCACGACAAATCATAATCTCTGTTGCTATTGCTGAACAATTGATTAACCAACTACAATCTTTCATTCATATGATTGATCACTCTATGAGTCGCATAAATTGGTCATCTAAGAAAAGCCGTAAAAAACTTAAATTAGATTTAAGCCTTCATTTGTAAATCTATGTGTCTTTTGGTTTTATTATTGTTTTGTTGTTTCTTATATCTGTTTCAGTGTGTTTCAGGTTTATCAGTGTTCGTTATTTCAGGTGATATCTTCTATACTCTATCTTTTTATCTTAGAACATTGAGGATAATATCTTATTTTGGTTGGGGGGAGAGGGTAGTAGCTAAAAAAAAAAACTAAATGTGTTTTCGATTTCATAAAGCATGTACAAAATTGTTGTTACTATAATGACAGAGTAAAGGAGATCTTTCTATAACTCTTGAGACGCATCTTAGTAAGCATTGTTAATAAGGTCTATTGACATGACTAAAAGATTGATGTCTTCTCCCAAGTGTGGGAGTGTTGAAGTAATAAATAACCCGGCAAGACCGGGGTCGAACCACAGGGAGGTTAATTGTACAAATTATAAATAACAATTATAAACAACAACAATAGTAACAACAACAACAACAATAGTAATAGTAGCAATAATAATAATAATAATAATAATAATAATAATAGTACTAATAATAATACTAGTAGTAGTAGTAGTAATACTAATAATAATAATAAAGAAAGAAATGGAGAAGAAGAAGAAGAAGATGAGAACTTTGAGATGGAATATTAATGTAAAGATTAAACAATAATAATAACAAATGTCAAGGTTAGAGGATCCACTAATGGTATGTCAAACAAGTATAGTATAAACTCTTATTATTCAATTGTAAACCACACACAAAGGAGGTTCCAATTAGATTATAGATTTGTTAACATGATTACAT